TATGTCACGTTATATGGCACTGGGCATTTTGCAGACGTATTTAAGGTCCCCAATCAGTTAACTTTAAGATAGAGAGATTACCCTTGGAGAACCCAACCTAATCAGACAAGCCCTTCAAAACTGAGAGTTTTCTCTGGCCAGTTACAGGAGCGAGGTCAGAGATACTCAGGGCAGGAGAGGGATTCAAGGTGAGACAGGTTTTTCCATTGCTCAGAAAAGGAGGTAGCCACCAGGCAAGGACCTGTGTGCGCCCTTTAGGAACTGAGGTCAGTCTCCAGTCAATAGCCAGCAAAAAAAGGACTTCAGTTTTACAACTGCAGCTGAATTCTACCAACAACACATGAGCTTCGATGAGGACCCCGAGCTCCAGGTGAGAACCTGGACAGCCAACAGCTTGATTTCAACCTGAACAGAGAACCCAGCCATGCATGCCAGATTTCTGTGCTATTTTTAAGCTGCTAAGTTTGTGGTAATTTGTTATATAGCAAGAGAAAACGAATACACTGTCCCTTGCTGCATTTCTCTCTACTAATGCTGATCATTGGTCTTCAGAGTTGCAGTGTTAGCATCTCTAAAGCTTGCAGTAGTATGTTTTCCATTTGTTGCCTTAATAGCCACTATTGCATTGTACTAAGGAGACTCCCAATTTCTTTCCTCCTCTTCTAACACCTTGAGTCCAGGGGCACCTGGGTGGCACAGTTGGTTAAACATCTGATTCTTGGTTTCGGCTGGGTCATGATCTCAGGGTTGTGGGATCGAACTCCCCCATCAGGCTCCACACTCAGTGGGGAGTCTACTTCTCTCCCTCTGCCTCCCCCGCCAACCCCTGCTCATGTGAGTGCGCACTCTCACTCCCTCTCACTCTCAAATAAGTAAATAATCTTAAATAAAATAAAACCCTGAGCCCAATCTTACTGGTTCTTTCTTACTATGATTCTCAGTATAGGTTTCATCCTGTCGGGGGGAGGTAGGGAAGGCCTTAATCTCTCCATTTTTATACTGGTAAAGTGTCATGCTTAAAGTTTCCATTCCTTTTCACTTTTGTGATTTAATTCTTGGTGATGTTATATCATACTGTAGCTGTTTCTCACGTTATCCATTGGACTGTGTCTGCTGTTCCCATTTCATGGGTTGAAAACAAGCAAAAGAGCGGTACGTGGTTATCCCATAGCAGAGGTGGGATGGGGACTGAGAACAGACAGAGATGTATGAGATGTGCTGGTGGGTGTTCAGAGTACCCAGTAACAAGGAGCAGTTGAGGGATCATGGACATTGAAGTCCCGCTAGTGAAATCTGTAAGCATGCCAAGAAGAAAGTGTCTCAATATGACTGTCTCACGTCAACGGAAAAGAACGCATTCTGTGTGTGTGATTGTTCTATTTTTGTCTCCTTGGTTTTATTTGGACCCTTTACCTAGTATTTCTCTTGGATCTAGAAAAAAGCATATTGAAATGGAAGGAAATAGTCTCTCTTTTTATTAAGTAATGAAATAATATCCTGGACACTGGATGGTCCACTGAATAATTTGTAAAATGATTTCCTTATTTCTTAGATCTGGAAGGGAGAAGGGGATGGCGTAGCAAGCTTTTTATATTCGTTTTTAATGTATGCACATTATTCAGGTAAACTAATTAGGTTTGCCCTTGTCTGAGAAAAATCTAGTATCTTTATAGATGCTTAAATAGATTCTAATTATCAGTCTATCTGGGCAAGCTTAGAATACTTTGAGTTCATTTGGTTACATTCACATAGTGACTCACCATCAGACCCTGGTTGGGGACCCACATTTATTGAGTCAGGCTGTGCTATCCCTTATTTGTCAATGTCTGTGAAAACTTTTAAAATGTCATTTAAATTTAACCTAATCTAAACTTTACAAATATAGAGCTTTTATCTATAATTGCCAATGTAATTTTGGTCCACTAAAATAGATTTTTTATTTTAAAAAGTATACGTACACATAATACACTTGAGAACTCTTGCCTCTGCTCCAGCCATTTAATATTCCATGTCTCAGATTTTGCATTTAGGAGATGGCCCTGTATACAGAGGAATCAATGTCAAGGTGGTTTTCTTTGTTACATTTTGCCTTGGAAAATTGTATTAATAATTTATCTTTAAGCAATATAGTTGGTTAGGGGATGTAAGTAACCACAGTACCAATTTAATTTAATGATGTCTTCGGGTCAGTAGCTGTAAACTACTGGTGTTTGGGGTTTTGGGTTTTTTTAGATTTTTGGAAAGAACAGATGGTTTTTTACTTTGTTTTCCAGTTCTATTTTAAGAAGTTGCACCTTCCTTTTCACACATGCTTCGCATTTCCTTTAGGCCTACTATATCTCTATAGACGTGTCTATAAAATTTGGTGATCTGATTTTTCGTAAGTCTTTGTTTATTTCTAGTATTTTAGTATATGATGTTCTTTCATATTGAAGTTTTTTATTGTATGTATTTTGAAGTTATAGAGGCAAAGTTGTTGTCTGGCTTTTTGCCTTCAGGGCAGCCTACCTGGAAAAATTAAAAACTCAGGTGTTATTTGGTGTTTGCATTTTTCTTATTAACCCTCTTTTATGTGTACAGAGAATACTAAAACTCACTGTTTTTGTGTGTTGGTACTAGAAACATGAGATTTTCAGCAGTGGTGTATGTGTGAGTCTTTGTTTCTTTTTTTCAAAATCTTGTTTGGTTTTGTTTTTAAGGCTATGCAGGATTTTTAGAAATCTGCTTAATATGAGAAAATTCTAAAAATTGTCAAATACGTAATTCAAATATTTTTCTTAAGGATATATCTTCTGGGTTGTGACTTCGATGGCAGTGAATCATTTTTAAATTTAAGATTTTATTTATTTATTTATTTATTTATTTATTTATTTATTTACCAGAGAGAGAGAGAGAGAGAGAGAGAGAGAGCGCGCGCGCACAAGCAGGGGGAGTGGCAGGCACAGGGAGAAGTAGGCTCCCTGCTGAGCAAGGAGACCAGTATGGGGCTTGATCCCAGGACCCTGGGATCATGACCTGAGCCGAAGGCAGACACTTAACCGACTCAGCCACTCAGGCATCCCGAATCATTTTTAAATGTGATTCTTTAGTATTTTATGTTTGTTTTATTTGTCACATAATAAAGTTCCAGGGGATCTAGATCAAATTTGAAACTAAAAATAACAATGAAAATCCCATAACTTGACCTGTGGCTCAGTTTATCCTCTTGACATAAAATTGTTGGCTTTAACATAACATTTGCACCTGGTGAATATCACCCCTTTATTTTAATGAAATAGAAGTGAAGCGTAAAGTGCAAATCATTGCACGTTATATTTTCTTATTGGACAAAAAAACCTGTAGTATGTACCTGAGTCAGGCTAATAAGGGAGAGGACACTTATTGAAGAAGAAAATAAAACCGAAGTCCTATTTTTCATGAGCCTTTTATCTACAGGGTACTACTGTCCTGAGTTCTTTATATTTGTTCTCATTCAATCATTTCAACTTACTTACAGTATTATTACTATCATTGGAAATGTGAGAACACCCTGGCTCAAAGATTAAGTAATTTGCTCGTGGTCATATAGTTAATAAATATTAGAACCGCAGTTACCTAAATCTGACTCCAAACTGTAGGTTATTTCTGAGATTTCACACTGCCTCCCACCTAACTTACGGAGTCATTATATATTCATTTGAAGAAGTGGAAACAGAGAGCCTGGGGGCAGGAATGGGAGAGCCTAGAAATGTGCCTGGTGATTTGACCTTTACCCTCTGTCAGGTAGCTTGATACGCCTGCTTCTCTGGTTCTCTCAGTCCTCCCAGTCTCTGAGGGCCTTATTTGGTGGGTACACCTCCTCCTCACACCATGTGAGAAGTACATACCTCATACCAACCAAATGCATCATCTTATGCACTGCCCAACACCGGAGGGCGTACTGGAGGGCACGCTGGATGTGTCAGATTCATTGAGAGAGGAATGCCTATTACCGTCCTTTATGGATGGCCAAAGAGTAATTTTCTTGTGTCGGCTTTCCGATGTAAATCTGAGTCCCCTTCTTCACCTGCCAGAAATGTGATTCCATGGTATTTGCCAGGCACCGTGCTAGGCTTCGTATATCTTAAACGTTTGTAGAAATACTGATAGTACAATTGCTCACCTGTTTTTCCAAAAACCACTTGGCAAAGAATTCTTATCTTTTAAATATTAGGTTCAGTTCCCTATTTCAGAGCATAACATTTCAGATTTGACTTAAGTAGGCATACTTCTGTTTCATACAGCAGGGATCTATCATTCCCAGTCAATCTGCTGACAAAGGAGTCTTTTGTCCAAGGGTTCATTTGAAAAGAGGTAATAATATATCCCTGATCTCTCTCTCTCTCTCTCTCTCTCATTTTAAACATCTTTCTCTTTTGTTTCATGCATTCCTTTTTGCTTAGATTTCACTGTGAAGTTCTTTCACGACATTACCACTTAGTACTTTGTCTAAATTAATCTCTACTTCCTTTTCTTCTTGTTGGGATTTCACAGTAAACCATAAAGTGTAAAAATACAACAATCCTTTCACATGCTTAGAACCCAGACTACAGTCTTTGGGCCTTTGAATAGAATATTCATCTAAAGAGGGGATCTTAGGCAATGTAGATTTCTGGATGTTTGTTTAGGGTAGGAAGAGATCAATAGGAGATACTGAAAAAATAGCCTTTTCTAAATACTCTTTCCTTGAAATGTTTAAATGTTAACTAAGATCTGAGAGCTTGATTTATACTTAGATGTATTTGATGTGAATGCTCACCAATTTCTACCCAAGATTCTTCATTCATAAAGCATTTATTATGCACCTGGTCTATGCCCAGCAGTCCTCTGGAATGCAAACATGATCTAGTTGGGGAGATGAGAAGGTTCATTAGTCGTTCCAAGCATAGCACTCAGGTGAAAATAGGTGCTATGGGGATTTATTTATTTTTTTAAAAAAAACAAACTCTGGCCAGTTTTATTAAAGAAAAATTTTGTGTGTTTTACTTCTCACCAGTCTGTTCTGGCATGCTTCTCATGATAACAGAGTTACCTGGATCAATGATAGCTGGTGTGCCTACTCAGTAGTATTTCCCACATGCCCAATTCAGTATTATTGCCACTGTAGTGATGACCATCAGTTTTGGCCAGCATGGCAGAGTATTCTATTTCAGATGTCCTAAAGGCTGTGCTGTTGTTCGCAAGGATGACCAGTTTCACTTTGCCGTGTCTGATCATTTTCAGAGTCTGCTTGTATCCCAGCATGTACTTTCCACTGTTGGTGACATGCTGGAGCCTAGAGTTGATCCACTCCAGCGACTTTTTCGTCGTCTTTGTGGCCACCACCATCTTCCTGCCTTAGGTTCAACATGGCGCCCACCGAGAGCAGCCGCCAAGATGGCCGGGAGCGAGAGAGGAAAGAGCTGCTGTGGGGATTTAAGGACTTCCTTAGCATCTGTTTTATCTTTCTAAACTTTTGATACTTTTAGTCAGTAAAGGAACTGGAAACCACTTTTAGATTAGTCAACCTGCTATGACAGCACATATTTGTTTTAACTTAATCAGAATATTTTCCAAAAATAAAAATATCCCAGAGGCTTCAAAGGGAAGAAAACCTCCCTGATTGAGTTGGCATATTATAGGTTCTGCTTCAAAGAATTAAGTTGCTTTCTTTTACGTTCTTACACATTTTCAGAATACAGGCAGCTACTAAGCATGGATACTAGAGTTGCTATGCTGCCAGTTCATAGCCAAAGTGAGATACAAGAGGGAGGAATGGAGAGTTAGTTCCTGGATCTTTATTCTTAGTAATGGTCAAATGGATGCATAACTGGAAGGCTGTGGAGTGACTTCCTTTCTATGGTACCATGCCCATGATATCGCTGAAGTACTATAATGCTGACATTACTTCTCCTACTGATGGTAAATTCTAGGAAAATTGTTTCATCTGTATTCCTCATAATGTTTTTTGGCCATTAATCTAAATACATTGTTTTTCTGTTTGCATTAGAGATACTTGATATCACCCCATCTAGAGCCATGAGCCTGATTTGGTTTCATAAATAATTTAGAGCCAAAGCTCATCATATATGTTAATTTAACCATGCAAATGTGAGCAAACATATAACGCCTACCTGTAATTAGATACAAATGAAGAGTTCTATTAAATGCGTGATAATATTTTTAGTGATTTTTTGAGTAATAATCTGGTCTTTATGAAGTAGACTTGGGTTGGTTATATAGCTTCTACAATCACAGACTATTTGGGAAGCTTGAAGTAAATTACCAGAAGCATAATATTGAGGAATGCTATTCCTCTAAATTTTGTGGCATTATTTTGAAGTAAAAAAAAGATACCAGACATTGCTCAGATTTTAAAACCAGGAGCCAGGCTTAGACAGTACTTCCTTACGTAGACACCTTTAATACTATTGGTTTTTTAAAAAAAATCAAAAATTCTTTTCCTTTTTGAACCTAGTTGATATATTTTGATTGAATAATGCAGGCACCACAATTCTTACTTTATTCTATATTCCTGTATCATGTTAACCTGAGTTTGGTTTGAAGTTACGGAGACCTAAAGGCAAAGACCACAGGTTGGCATGTTGCCCAAGATGGCAAAGACCAGGTTTCTTTTCAGTTGTTGCTATGTCTTGGACTCAGTTCTGGTCCTAAGTTCCCCTCAAAGTCCAAGATGGTCACTACCATTCCACCTCCAATAATCACATCCACATTCCATCTATCAGGAAGAATAAAGATGGAAAAGAGGGGACATCCTCTCCCAAACATACATCTTGGTTGCCACTTATGTTCAGTGTTGTGCTGGGGACTCTAGCGAGGGGCATTAAGGCAAGAAGAACAAAAGAAAATATGGCATCCAGACTGGAGAGGAAGAAGTAAAACTATTTCTGTTTGCAGATGACATGAACTTGTATATAGAAAACCCTAAGGAATCTACAAAAAAACAAGCCAAAACTGTTAAACTAATGAACAAGTTCAGTAAGATTTCAGGCTATGAAAGATCAATATATAGAAATCAGTTGTGCTTCTCTACACTAGCAATGAACACTCCAAAAATGAAATTTAAAAACAGTTCTATTTGCAATACCATCAAAAGGAATAAAATGCTTAGGAATAAATTTAACAAAAGAAGTGCAAGCCTTGCACACTGAAAACTACAAAACCTCATTGAAATAAAGATCTCAATAAATGCAAAGACATTCCATGTTCATGGATCAGAAGAGTTAATATTGTTAAGATGACAGTCCTCCCCAAATTGATACATAGGTTGCACACAGTCACTGTCATCGAAATATCCTAGCTTGCTCTTTGTGGGGCAAAAATTGACAAGCTGATCCATAAAGCTCATACGGAAATGCAAGAGACCCAGAAAAACCACAACAATCTTGAAGAACAAAGTTGGAAAAGACTAAACATTCCCAACTCCAAAACTTATCACAAAGCTACAATAATTAAGAAATTGTGGTACTGGCATAAGGATAGAAATATCCATACACTTAAGGTGAAATAAACCCTTACATTTGAAATAAATCCTTACACTTACTGTCAGTTGATTTTCGACAAAGAGGCAAGACAGTTCACCTGGTGCTCAGACAATTGGATATCCACATTCAAAGGAATGAAGCTGGACCCCTACTCACAGCATGCACAAAAATTAACTCAAAATGGGTCACAAACCTAAATGTAAGAACTAGAAACTATAAAATGTAGACACAAATCTTCGTGATGCTAGGTTAGGCAACAGTTTTCCACATATGACACCAAAAACACAAATGACAAAAGAAAAAATGAATTTGACTTCAAAATTTAAAAATTTTGTGGTTCAAAGGACACTATCAAGAAAGTGGAAGAACAGTCCCTGTAGTGAGAGGAAATGTTTGCAAATCATATATCTGATAAGAAACTTGCATTCAGAACATACAGAAAACTGTTACAATTCAACAATAAAGACAACCAAATTTAACTGGGCAAAGGATCTGAATAAACATTTCTCCAAAAAAGATAATAGGAATGGGCAATAAGCACATGAAAGGAGGCTCAGCATCACTCATCATTTGGTAACTACAAATCAGAACCACAGTGGGGCATACTTCACACCATTACTACAACTATAACTAAGAAGATGGATAATAACAAGTGTTGAAGAGGATATGGAAAAATTGGAACCCCTGTTCATGTAAAATGGTGGCAGCCAATTTGAAAACAATCTGGGAGGGCGCCTGAGTGGCTCAGTTAGTTGGGCGACTGCCTTCGGCTCAGGTCATGATCCTGGAGTCCCTGGATCGAGTCCCGCATCGGGCTCCCTGCTAGGTGGGGAGTCTGCTGCTCCCTCTGCCCCTCCCCCCTCATGTGCTCTCTCTCTCTCTCATTCCCTCTCTAAAATAAATAAATAAAATCTTTAAAAAAGAAAACAATCTGGGAGTTCTTAAAAAGTTAAATGTAGAGTTCCCATGTGACCTAGCAGTTCCACTCCTAGGTATATTTCCAAGAGAAATGAAAACAAATGTCCCCAGAAAAACTTGTACACATATGTCCATTATCAGCAGCATGTCCATCCTCTGATGAATGGGTAAATAAAACATGGTATAATATCCATACACTCAAATATTATTTGTCCAAAAGGGAATGAAGTGCTGATGCACACTACAATGTAGATCAATCTTGAAAACATTATGCTAAGAAGCTGGACACAAAAGGTCACATATTTTATAATTCCATTTATATGCAGTGTCCAGAATGGGCAAATTTATAGACACAGGGATTAGATTAGTGGTTGCCTCAGGCTGGGGTGAGAAGTAGGGTGAGGACTGCTAATGGGTATGAGGTTTCTTTGGGATGATAGAAATGTTCTATAATTAGACTGTAGTGTTTGTACAACTCTGTGACTACACTAACTATTGAATTGTAAATTTTAATCACGAATTTCTGGTATATGAAAGGTATTTTTAGAAAGTAAATCTTGGAGGTGGCACATACTACTATATCCCGTTGGCTATAACTTAGTTACACTGTTATACCTTCTTGGGGGTAGGAATAGTGAAGGTGGGAACAGTGTTCTGTATTCTGGGCAGCCATGTGCTCAGCTAACATAAGGGGACTATGACGGAGGCCAAGGAGTGAGTGAGATATTGGTGTACATCTAGTAATTTCTGCCACCTTCTAGTTAAAGGTGAATCATAACAACTGCTGCAAATTACTGTCGTTAAGTCAACAGTCATTCTTGATGAAGAGCTTCCCATTAGTTTGAAATAATAACCTGGTTTTTAAAAAAGGTTTAAATACAAAGAGAGGTTTGAGAAAATAGAGTGGCCCTCATTCTTTATTGCAAAATAGAAGACAAAGAGGAACAGAACCTTTAATTTCAGCTGATAGCTCAATGTGTCAATTTGTGGGGTCTCAACAGTGAAAAATGACCATGTCAAATAATCATCAGTGATGCTTTATTGATACCAGCTGGGTGTATGAGCCTGGTCTGGTAAGAAGACGAGAAAAGTCCCTGGCACCCAAGAATGTCACAGTCTGATTGGAGAAATATAATGTATATGCATAAAATGTTAAATAACACAGGATAATTTATAGTTACTGCAAAATGTAAAAAAGCAGAGAGTAAATGCTATGCAAGTTTGATTAGCCTGAGAAAATCCCGTAACCTGAGGTGTCCAAGGACAATAAGAGTAATAATACTTTTGGAGAGCTTACTATGTGTCAGATGCTTTGGAAGCACCTGCTAAATGTGATCTTGCCCCCTTCTCACACTAAGTGCAAGAACGGAGTCTCCTGGTAAATGGTGTCTCTCCAGGGCCCGTGCTCTTAACTGCCTCAGTTGTGCTCTGAACCCAGGCTGCACAATAGGATGCCCGAGGAGATTTCAGGACACTACAGGTTTCTGGATCCCATTCTCAGAGATTCTGATTTCAGTGGTCTAGTGTGTGCCCTTACCCTCCCCACCACTGGGGGGTTTTCTTTGTTTTTTTTTTTTACAAGTCCCCAGAGGATTACAGTGACTGTTCAGCCTGGGGTCGGAACCACTGTGTTCCTTGGAGCTGTAAGTTCCTCCCCTAACACATGAGGGATGATCAGCCCCTGAAGAAGGTAGGGCAGGACTAGAGACAGTAGATAACAATCTCATTTTAGAAGTGGTTAGAACTGGACAACAGCTAAGCTCAGGTAATGCTGTTTTCTACTGTTCCACGCCCTTCTACCCACCGAGGCTTTTCTCTGTTCCACAAGATACGGCTTAGTGATCACAGGATGCCATCACCTAGAAATGGACTGTCCTGTTGAAGTGGATGAAAGTAGAGATGCAGGTGCGCATATCATTGGAGGGTCACGCTAGTGCTCGATATTTGGAGCAGGGGAATGTTATAGGTGACTCTTAGGTTGCTAAAATTATTCCTTGTGTCTGCCCAGAAGTAGGACATTCCTTTTCCTTTGCATTCATGGTGTCTGTGCCAGAAGCTTTGTTTTTTATTTACTATGCTTTTTGGGAAGCTCTTATTAATCAAGTGGTTTTA